AGGCTGAAGAGCTGAGGGACAGTGCCCAGGCCCAGAGTTCAGGTCCCACGACCGGACCCCCCCCCAAAAAAAAAGAAAGAAATGAAACTTTTATTTAATTCTTAAGCTTTGGTATATATAGAAAATTTGTATTCCAGGAACTATGCTCTCCCTCTCTTCCCATGTCTATTTTCAGTAACATTTATTGATAAATATTAAATAGTAATCTCTATTAAACACTAGAAAGATAAAAATAAATCATTTTCTATCCACTTTGTTTCCAGGACAATTTTTTCTATCCTGGATACACAATCTTGGTCATATATTATTTAGCTAACATTCATGGTTGTTTTATCTTTTAAGGCTAACAATATTATAGCCCCACTAAAGCTGTACTGAGGAAAGAATGCTAAGAGATGAATAAACATGTTGGGAGAGGCAGACGTTTTAGCTTAACTTCCTTTTTTGTAAGTCTTTATGCTATTTTATTTTAACCCTGAGTTTGCTCTACCAAAGATAAAGAAATGAGATGTGAGTAAGAAAATACTTACTATCTTAAGTATATTAATGTTAATAATATAAACGTTTTCTTGTATTAGCATAATACAAAAGTATGATGTTTGAAATATAATTTTAAATAAGATATTAATATGATGTATTATTAAAATATCTTTAATACAAATGATGGTATTTTAAATAGTGGAATATTTTCAGTAAATGTTTCAAATAATTTGTAATTGTTTAAACAAATTAGTTATTTTTTTATTTTAGACATTGTAAAAAGTTAATTATAGGTGGTTCAAAACTTGCAAACTAAAAATATAAATTCACTATAAAATGAGGGATAAATTTATTTTAAAATTAGCTGCAGTGTGAAAGTCCTCTTAAGAATGACAAAAAAAGCCAAGACCAGTGACTCAAGCCTTTAATCTTAGCTACTCAGGATACTGAGATCTGAGGATCATGTTTCAAAGCCACCCAGGGCAGAAAAGTCCCTGTGAGACTCTTTTTTTTTTTTTGTTTTTTGGGTTTATTTTTTGGATAGGGGGAGTTGGTGGTTAGGCCTGTACTCTGGGCCTGGACACTGTCCCTCAGCTCTTCAGCTCAAGGCAAGCATTCTACCACTGAGCCACCTTCCCAGCCCCCCATGAGACTCTTATCTCCAATTAACCACTCAAAAACTGGAAGTGGTACTGTGGTTCAAGTGGTAGAGTGCTAGCCTTGAGCACAAAGAGGCTCAGAGACAGTGACCAGGCCCTGAGTTCAGGCCCCACAAAAAAAAAGAAAGAAAAAAAATATTAGTATGCCACACCTAATATACTAGTTACTCAGGAGAATCAAGATCCAAAGTTAGCCCAAGCAGATAAATTCTCAAGATAAATTTCCAAATAACCAGCAAAGAGCTGGAAGTAAAAGTGTAGCCTAAGAAGTAGAAAGCCCGATGCAACTGAAAGCTCAAGGTCCTGAGTTCAAGCCTCAGTAACTATATATACATACATATATATATGCATACACACATATATACACATATATATATGCACATCCATATATTCATCTGTGAAACATCAATGTCCATTCTTCTTAAAAATACATTTGTGACCATTTGAGACAATATTTCTCTAAAAAGATGCATAGAAATTCATTGACAAGATAATATTATTTACGGTAACACAGTAAATGTTTGGAAGCCACTTCAATACCAGGAAGAGAAGACTAATTAAGTGAATAAGATAACTAATGAGTGTGATTTCTCCTGGGGTGCCATCAAACGGAAAGAGGACTCTCCATATGAAACATGTATGGTCTACTCCACGGAAGCCACGTCTCACAATAAGAGAATGTTATCTAATGATTAAAGTTCAGGGTACTGTGTGTAGTAACAGTGAGCAACTTATTGACAAACATGTGTATATCATATACACATAAGTTACCATCTATATGCATACAATTTATAAATGCAATCAATATTTGCTTATGTCTGAAGGAAGTTATTTAGATGCTTAGGCAACAGGCGTAAGAGTGGAGATTTACTTTCTATTGATCATTTTTCGAATAATTTTTGTTTTATAGTAGATGTCTACTTTTACCTAAGCAAATACCAATACTCAAGTGTATTATTTTATGTATTTAATGGAGATTTAGTAGCCTCCTGAATACACATGAAAAAAAATAACATGTTTTGTGTATAGTAGTTATTAAGATACTACTGAGAGCATTACAGGCATGGCTCAGTTGGAACACTAGCCAATGTGCCAAACATAAGGTACTGAGTTTGATTCTCAGTCTAGGACCTAAAAGATAAAAGCTAATCACTGAATTTTTTTGTCATTACTAGGCCTAACTTATTAACTACAGAGATTAAATAATACAGTCTCCATTTTAATGATTGTTGGAAACAAAAGTTGAATCTAGATGAACACAATGGACGACTAGGCATTTTCTCTGTTGAGATATATTGACTAAGAAAATAGTGTCAAATTGTTCCTATTTGTCGGGCGCTGGTGGCTCACGCCTGTAATCCTAGCTACTGAGGTTGCTGAGATATGAGGATCATGGTTGCTGAGATATGAGGATCATGGTTCAAAGCCAGCCCACGCAGAAAAGTCTGTGAGATTCTTATCTCCAATTAACCACCGGAAAACCGGAAGTGGTGCTGTGGCTCAAGCAGTAGAGTGCTCCCCTTGAGCTGAAGAGCGCAGGGATAGCGCCCACGTCTAGAGTTCAAGCCCCACAACTGACAAAAGGAAATAAAATAAAAATTGTTCCTATACGTCTGAGCATTACAATTTTTTAATGAAATTACTTCAAAGTCATTTATGGAATAGTGAATTCTCTTTTTGTTTAAGTGAGTTAATAATTTCAAATGGTCAGAAGTAAAGCTTTGAAGAAAAGCAGTGACAAATGAATTCTAATTGAGGGTTCAGTTTCTTAAACATTTTCACATTAGATTGACTTCATTCCACAAAACTAGTGATCATACATAGAATCATCATGGAAGCTAGGCAAATTTTTAACAAAATCTAAGACAAATATGTATGAAATCTTCTATAAACTTTGGTTATATTTTATTTGTTGTATTCGATACTATCATAAAATAGTAACTGATCATAAAATGTCATTAATTTGCTGATAATATAATTGAAACTAATTTGTAATTTATTTTTAATATAGCCAAGTGAAGTACCCAGAAAGACAATATTATTTGGGATGGAATAATTATTTCTTTTATTAGTATGGATCAGTTACAATTAGAATAAATTATATACACTTTATAGTTGTCACATAAGAGTTATTAAACCATAAAGACATTATCAAAAAGGTCTAATATTTAAAAAAAATCTCTAAGGATGAAAAATTATTCCTTTGTCATTAGAAAAACATCATTTAATAGAACAATAACTCTACTTTGGAAAATTATAAAATGTAGCCACAGAAATATATTTTGTGATGTACAGTATATATTTAAATACATATAAAAATAAAATTTAATGGATTAGAGTAGCTTCTACACACAAATTATGGGATGGTTATCTTTATGACTAAGAAAACAGCAAAAATTATTTAGAATATTTCAAAGTTCTTTTGTATGCCTACCACCTCAATCCCAACTCTATGGTGTATTTTTCTTGTAATTATATGTGCTAAAAGCAATTCTATAATTCTATATAGAATTATAATTCTGTAATTCTATAATTTGCTTATAAGTTGACTTAAAGATATAATATTTAAAATGTTTAAAATTAGCAATTGAGTGAATTAACAAAATTAAAATTTGAATCTTAGTCAGATATAAACATTATTCAATGTATACATGTATTGGAACATTGCATGGAGCCCGATAATTACACATAATTTTTGTCAATAAAAATAATTGTCTTTTGAAAAAAAAACATAGTTATATGAAGATTTAGTGCCTTCTCTCCCAAATCTATAATAGGAAACTTGCTAATGCTTTAAGTCTATTAACAGGTATAGTTATATTCAAAATGCAGAATCATCATTTATTGTGTTTCAAAATGCACAAATAATGTTTCAATCCTCTAATATTTAGCAATTCAATTTGAAAAAAACTTGAGCAAGGGGGCAAAGAATTTGACAGTAATGAGTAAAGCTGAAAAGACATATGACAAACCAATATAGAAGTCCATTGGAGAAGGGGAGTTAGATGAAGGCATAAATAAATACATCCTATGATAGAATGCAAATAACGAAGTAAATAATAGGTCCACAGAAAACACTAGTAGTTTCAGAAATAATAGATGACAACTGGTCAAACAGAACAAATTCTGTACTGTTTTTCATAATTCTTCCATAGAAGATAAATTCCTATTTTTCTTACCAGTCAGATTCAAAGATGACCTACAAGTGTCCTAGTACAAGAAATGAAAACATAGATGGTCCCCCCAAAATATAGCACAATACAAATGGAAAACGTCTTCCTAAAGACAACTTAAAAAATTATAGGAGAAAAAAATAAGAGAATGAATGAGTAAATTAAGAATATTTAAGAAATAGTAACAAGAAACTTGCATTCACAATAGGGTTATTTTTAAAAGGTGTATGAGTTCACACTTTAAAAATGAAAAGAAAGAAAACTGATATAGCAAACTATAGAAATGATTCCTGAAAGTCTAGTGGAAGAACAGCAAAGGGGGTAACAATGTTTGGCAAGAAATGTACTCATTACCTTGCTCATGAAACGCTAACCCCTCTGTACAGCATCTTTTCAATAAAATTAAATTAAAAAAAGAAAACTGAGATAAAACCTGCATAACAATATGCATAAAGGGAATGAGCAAGAAAAATCAGGATATTCATATATTATGACTATATAATATTGCATTTCTACTTACCCATTCTGACATACAGGGCAAGTGTCCACCACAGGGGAAAAAAATACAATCTGTAGCAATATTAAGACTACAATGAAAATGATAAAGATAATTGCTTAAGTACAATCCCATACTGAGAAGGGACCAATATGTTAGGGAAGGAGAAAAGCAGACTTCCAACAGACAGAAGGAACAAGAAAAGAAAAACATGATAGAGACATAGATAGAATTTGGAAAAAAAAATGTACTCTACCACATGATGACTGTTAAGATAGAACCAAAATAATCCAATTCAAGTTCTTGAAACTTTACTAGCATGCTTGAGATAGTGTTAGAACATTTTAAAGTACTAAGCTTCTTGAAGTACCTCAGATGAAGTACTAAGACAATTGGATTACAATAGAACAAAATTTTTTTATCCATGAGACTTTTCACTTTGTAAGTTCAGAGGCAATAATGGTGTTGGTATGCACAGCACTACTGGAGAGATAAGCAAAAGAAGCCATAAATTTCATCACTTCAACTGATGAAGATAGGGTGAAAATGAACAAAAGTATGATGTATTGATTTTTTTCTATATTTTGCAATGCACGCCAAGAATGAACCTGCAAAAGAATTAGTTTTATCCAAAGATCTCTATTGCCTATATAGCAAAATCCTATATATAGCTTTCAATCATTTAAATCTACTTTAGAAATAATGGTGCCTGGATGGAGCACTTGTCTTGCCCATCTATACCAACTTTGATCCATTTTTGAGATTTACACAAGTCCCAACAGCCACTTGTCACGTAGGCTTAAGAAGGTTGATGTGGTCAGGAAGTGATGGATGTGATAGGTTTTACAATCTAAGCATTAAATTAACAAGATTTGCATTAACACAGTTACAACATCATCACTGTCTTATACTTGATAGAAATTCTAGTGGTACAATGTTGACTGTTTTAAAAAGGTAGTACATTTTAATTTTCATTCTTCTTGTGTGCAGCTTCAATATTTAAAAAAGAATGTTGGAATTGTTTTTAAGTTTACATATCTCCTTTCTAGCAGAAGCTATGGAAGATTATCAAATAATCCCTATTGAATTATTTCTGTTATGTAATGATAAGCAAGTTCTACTACATTCCTATAAAACAATTCACTGCTAGGACCAGGAAACATCAAAGCCACATTGGAAATCTTACACCAGAAATCAACAAATTTTACTAGCTTTTATTTCACTACTACAAGCTTTATCATGAGTTACCTATTATATTATATAAAGATGAGCAACATGAATGGAGGTGTAAAGGCTACTGGAATTAGGTGGACAATAATACCACATCCCCCACGGTTGTTTCAGAGTCTTGACTGTGGTTAGAGCTGATGCCAGTGTCTGAATCTGTATCGTTTATATACGTGTTAAATACCCTTTGTGTCAAGGGCAGGACCTCTCCACTGTTAGTGGGGACTTCAGATCCCTTCCCTCTGTTTTCCTTTAACTGGCATCCATCTTGGTTGCTAATGTGAAACGAATTAAGCTCCTGGGCTAGTAGTTCATATTCCTTGGCTTTCATCAGAAGCAATGAGTCACTGTATTTAATCTCCTTCTGGATGCCACTCAAGTGAGAGTGGATTTTCAAACCAGCTTTCATACTTTTCTCCAAATCACACTTAACACTTTCTAGATGAGAACTTTCCACTTCACCGACGGCTGCCCCTTCGGAATCATCCATGACTTCTAGGCAGACACTCTTGACCTCTTTCTCTATTTCTGCGGAGAGCTTATCAATGAGCATTCTGTAGTACTTCAGCCGTTCTTCCAACTGTACGATGTCATCGCTTTCGTTCAGGTCCTCCAGAATCTGGTTTTCCTCTGACTGCAGGTCGAGCTTCCGCTCAACTTCACTGAGACTGGGCATTAAATATGCATCCTGCACATAATTTTCCCCATTATTTTCTACCCGGTCGAGGTGGAATTTTGCTTCACACTTTTCAATTTCCAGGTCCAGCTCTTTCATCCTCTGCACTTGCTGATGAATGGTATGGTCCTGAGAAATGATCAGATGAACTAATGTCTCCATATGATCGCGATCGTGAGACGCCGTGTCCTGCTTAATTTTAGCCAGCTTCCGGAAAGTTTTTCTCACGATTCTTTTCTGTTTGTCTGGTGGTAATGTCTTCATGTAAGTGGCTGGGCTGAGCTCCCACGGTTTTTCGGTGTTTTGGACTAATTTTGTTTCAGCGGTCCTCCACAAAGGAACTGGAAGGAAAGCATCTGCTTTAACCAGAACAAATTGCATATTCGGCTGCTCATCGCCCCAAGCTTTCCACAGCTTCAAGATTCTCGTCAGCGGAGGGAGGGCGCGTTCAGAGCCTCTCCACTTCTCTACGATGCAGTAATCACTGGGCTTCCCCAGGAGAAATCGTTTTTCCCCCAAGGTAGTCTCATGTTCCTCCAGCAAAGCCTGGATGACATCAGCGGAGGTGGTGCGTTTAGTTAACCCACAGACAATCTTCTCTTCTTGGCAAACCCAAACCACAATTTCCTTCTCTTCTGATTCCATGTCTTTAGTTGGAGATCTGCAAGAAAAACGAAGTCCACTGAATTGCTGTCAACACTTTTGTGTCAAGTAGGAAAGATGGATTAGCATTAATCTGCTTTCTAGATTTTACTCTTTTTGGATAAGAGACACACTTTGGGGTTGTGATCACCTATGGATCTGAAGATCTAATTCCTGGGGAACACACACACACACACACACACACATGCACACACACACACACATGCACACACACATGCACACACACACACACACACACACACACACCTGTGGATAACATCTTAATTTCCTTTTTATACCCAATCTAGAAAGCAGAAAAATAGTTCTTAAAGAAGAAATATCATCAAAGACAACTGAAAGCACTTTATATTTTTCTTTGGAAGTTAGCTATGATGCATATACAGAACTGTTAAGATTCTGACTATAAACAGAGAGGAGATGAATAAGAGTTCAATGATATTTTTGGAGGGGGGCCATAACACTGGAGAAAGGACCATGGAAGCATAAGAATGGTGAGGTGTAATGGAGTCATAGAGTAAACATTTGTTGAGGATTGAAAATAGCTAATTTTTTTTAGTCAGTCAATTTCTGCCAACTAGGTGCCAGATATGTCTGAATATACTACCTTAAGGCAATATCAGAATACACAGAAAAGTGTACAGACACAGATATGTAATCAAGATAGCATCAAATGGTAATAAGTGCACTGAAGAAGATAAGATGGGTGTAGGGGTAGAAAGTGTCTTGGAATGAGAGAAGGTGTCTTATATTTAGTGTTTAGGAGAGACTTCCTTAAGGAGATAATCTATGAACAGGAACAAAAATGCAGTAATCTGAGATGTACACTGAAAATTCTAAAACAGAACAAAAAATATAGCTCATGAAGTATATTCAAAAGAATGTCCATGTACTTTGAGGTTAAAATAGTAATGTTGAGAGTTGTTGATATAAAGGAGAAAGTCACGCAGTAGGTAATGAGGTCAAGGAGAAAGGTAAAGCCTGGCAGAATATAACAAAGAATGTGTATTTTGTTGGGATTTTAATAGGAAACTATTGGAAATTTTTAGGTGAGTATGACTGGATTTATGCTTTTTGTGTATCTGGCTGTGTTTGTGGACTATGCTGTAGAGAAGAAAAAAGTAAAGGCAAGATGACTGAATGAGAAACCTTCTACCGCACACTAGGAGATAGATTCTGTAGTATTCTGAACTAGAGTTTTACCAGCAGAGATATTTGGAAGTAGTCTATGTTTATACAAAGTTTGTTTGTTCATTTGTTTATGAAGTACTAGCCTTAAGCACAGTAAACAAACACTGTATGCTCTAGCACTGAGATAGAGCCTATGCCCCCACAAATACAATTTGGCAGTACATTCTCTTGTAGTACAGAGGGTCTGAGTGTACAAGTCTATTTCCTATGAATATAACAAAAGACCAAGGCAGGTTATTTTCTAAAGGAACATGATTTGTTTTGCTTCATGGTTGTAAAAGTTCAAAGTTAAGAGGCTATGTCAGCTGATAGTGCTTCTTGCTTTTGCATGGCAGTAGGATCAGGATTACCTTGCCTGAAGTCTACATAAAATCTTAAGAAGCCTCAGAAATCCAGTCACAAGAAAATCACTCTAATCAGCCTATTCAATTCTGATCTCCTCTCAAAGTCTCACTTTCTAAAGACTATAGCCAGGCATAGTTAAAGTTGCACCCCTTAATACTATTAATGTATGACTTAGAGGGATTTAAATACATGACATATTTAAAGCAGAGCATTAGGGGTTGTGGGTAAGCTTAGGAACAGATATCTACAGAATATTAAAAAAATAGTTTTCTTAAGGAAAAGGAGAAAGCTTCATGATGTCTAATTTATATTTTAAAGAACGTTAAGATTGTGTTCACATGAATATAAATTAAACTAACTTTGTCTTTCATCATACTTCTTTAACAGAATGCAAAGAAACAAATGATATAAAATGAATTATATTACAATATGATTTATGATGACTTATGACTTTTGAAGTAGAAACTGGTTGTTTTGTAAGTTAAGTCAAACTCATTTATCATGTACTTATATTTTACCTTCAAAGCATGTTGACTCCATGAATCACACACTAAAGAATTCTCCCCCGGTTTCTAGAATCTCTTACCAATTAGAATTTATAATGTTTATGTGTTTGTAGCAAAAGTGGCTTATACTATGCTACCAACTTTATTTTAGGTGAGCTAATTATGCTGCTTATTGACCCTACTAAGATGAAAAGATAATTAGGAAAGGTACAAGAATAAGCCAGTAACAAGAAGTTAAGGTTAGGTCAATTTCCTAAAAAAAGAATATACAGTACAACTTACATATTCAAATCTAGCGAGTAAAATTTTACAAAGAGTTACTCAAAATCTACAGAGGTGTGATATTTCTTTTATAAAGTATTTTACACAGCATGATTCAAGGTTGAATAGTGTTATTTAGATAGATGTTCATGATATCTTAACAATATTATAATTTTTAATTTGATAATTCTATATAGCAAAAGCTAGGTTCAAATTTAGGATAATAAAACTATTTTTGGCATCCTGAGTGATGGGGACCTAATACACAAAAAGTAAAGACAAGTGGATACTCAATGTAACTTATACCAATTATTGTCAAGTTATGCATAGATTGCACACACTACCTCAGAGACACTCCCACACATAAACAAACCTTTCTGGCTGGGTGCCAGAAAGGCACTGATTAATCACCAAGAAAAATCAAATGTGGAGCTGTGGCATAAATGGTAGAGCTCCAGCCTTGAGCAAAATCAAACCTTAACAGACAGTGTTCAGTCCCTGTGTTCAAGATACCGACCAACAAACACACATATACATTCATACACATACACAAATACCCCTCCACACCAATAGTAACATTTCTTTGACATGAATACTACAGTCAAAATTATTTAAAACATTTTATACTATATATTGAAGAGTTTAACTTGGATAATTTGAGAAGCTGTCATTTATATTCTTTGCATTTTCCAAATGTGTAATTACAATTCATTTCACCATGATGTTTTAATAAATTATGTTAGATACAATAGCAAATAGGTATTATCAATGTCAACTTTAGATAAAATTACTAATAGCTATCATGGTTAACTTAGGATGTCCTGTCCAATTGAAAATATATAATGTCAAAGATAGCAACTATCAAAATATAAATAGTCTACACACTGTTCCACACTCTGACATATATTACATCATTAATTGTTGTGATTATGTAAGGTCAGTGGTGAGCTTAATGTCATTTTATAGATAAAGAAACTGAGGCAAACTGAATGTCCTCACTTTAATTAGTAGTGGATTAAGGGTTCATATTCAATCTAGAGAGCTGGCTCCAAAGTTTGAAGTTTTAGCCAGTACACTTCAAGGGAAGTTTGTACATTTAATGATTTAGGTATGTGGGTCAAATTGGAAATCAAAAGCACTACCTGTTAAAAGAACTTTTATTATATGAATTAGCCTTTGATAGCAATATACACAACTTGCCCAATCGGATCATTCAACTGATAAAGGAATAAATTTTCAAGGGGCATCCATATAGAAAAGTATGAAGGAATATGTTACCTTCTGTACCTTTCTTTTAAAAAAAAACAGTTTTCTGCTAGGTGCTGGTGGTTGAGGTCTGTAATCCTAGTTATACAGGAGGCTAAGATCTGAGGACCATGGTATGAAACCAGTCTGGGCAGGAAATTTTGTGATATTTGTCCCCAATTAATCACCCAAAAGCTGAAAATGGAGCTGTGACTCAAGTAGTAGAGTGCTAATTTTGAGCAAAAATGCTCAAGGACAGTGGCCAGGCCTGAGTTCAAGCCCAGGACACATACTCTCTCTCTCTGTCTCTCTCTCTCTCTGTCTCTCTCTCCCTCTTCCTCTCTCTCTCCTCCTATCTCTTTCCCTCTCTTTCTCCCCTCTCTCTCTTACCCATACCCAAAATAGAACGAATTTTCTTCTTGAGTTGATACAACCTGAGTATCTCCTATAGCCAAGAAAAAAAACCCCAAAAACTAAAAACAAAAAAGCCTTTCATATACTCAAGATCTTAGAGTAGTCCCTATGTCCCCCTTTCTGGTTGGGAAGCATCACTGCTGTGCCCGTAGCTAAGGATGACACATGACCTATATGCTGGAATTGCTGGAAGAGCTGTGAATGTCACTGGAAGAAGGCAAGGACTAGGAAACTGCTGCAAGTATTAGATCAGCAATAACAGTGTACTAGGTGGTTCTACAATATTTTCAGAACCAGTAATGAGTAAGATGTTCCCTGCTTTGAAATAATTGGGTTTTAGCCTTCTCTAGAGATGTTCTGGATCTCAGCTTCTGTAGGTACATGCCACTATTGGTCATCTAAAGTCAAAATAAATAGTTTTGTTTATATATTTGTACCAGTATCAGAGCTTGAAGACTCAGGATCTGACCCTCTTGCTTGGCTAGCTTACTCAAGATGATGATCTACCACTTGTGTCCTGTCTCACATCCATCAAGAAAAATTTTGATTCCATGTTGCATATAAGTAGCACCCTAGAGTCTCACTGACTCAAAAACTTCCTTTTAAAATGTATTTTCAAAATACGCCAATACTCATGTTTTATTGGGCAATGATTACTAAATATTTGAAGGAATATTTTACATTAATCATTCAAACCAAGTAATTTTCAAAATTTCAGCATCTTGGCAGCACATTTAAAAGTAATGGTCATTCAATACTGATGCAAGGTGATAAATTTCCCACAGCCAGCATATGCTTTATCATGTCAAAAATCTATTTCATAGAAGGTGTAGGAGTTTGATAACTCTGAGTTTCTATACTTGACAAACATTGTTATGCACCTGCTCTATATTTGGAACTGCCATGGGAACGGTGAGTCTATAAACACATGCATAATTTGTAAGGCATCGTCTCCAGCGAATTGTAGAATGCCATGCAATTTGGCGGAAGTGCAACACTTTGTTTAATGTCAGTTATGGCACTTAGTTTCTTATTATAC